AAACAATATTTGAAACCTGTGAATAATCAATAACAGGAGATCAAAACCAAAAGAATTAAAAATGAAATGAGGTAGATTTTTAAAAATAATAATAAAAAGATTTTAAAAGAAAGATTTAAAGGGATTAAAACTAAACATATACAACTGTTTAAATAAAAAGTAAAGATTAAAAAGGTAATAGAAAATAAAACAGATACAAAAAAGATTTTTTGGAAAGGAAAAAAAAAAAAAAAGGATGTGTTCTCCTGGAGATTGTGCGCTCTTACTGATTTTATCTAGAAGTCTTTCTGTCTTCGCCCTGTTTCGCAAAGTCAGCTTGCTGTTTCCAGAGGCCCTCTGTTGGCCCCCTTCTCTGTGCTGCTCCCAGTGCCTGTCAGCAAGAAGATCGCGCTCCCTCCCAACACTGGGTCAGATGTTGCTCCTTCGCAGTGGGCAGGCGGGTCACTCCCTCTGTCAATGCTGCAGTGAGATGCTGCGCTCAGGGGGAGGCAGGCGGATGGATGGCGCCTCCTCCCAGCACTGTGGTCAGATGCGTTCCTGCCAGGAATGGGGGGGGGGGGTTGGCTGCCCGCCCTCTCCCAGCGCTGGTCGCACCACTGCTCTGTGCAGCTGCCACCTCCACCTCAGGTTGGCGCTCCGTAGGCAGGCTAGGGAAGACCGTGGAACCGCCCCGTCTCAGCTCTGTTCCAAAACTCAGCTTGTTTGTCTTGGTGGCACGAGTTCTCTGAGGTACCAGGACAGAAAGATCCTGCCTGGGGCTGTTAACAAGTCTGGTACTGCCTAGGAGGTTGCGGAACCCCCAGGTGCGGATTCAGATCTCAGCCTCACTCCTGCCCGGGCGCTGCGCACAGGAGGATATGGCGGCTGTGGCTGCATTCTGCCTCACTTCTCAGGAGAAGCACCAGTAATGGTGCCGCGGTTCTGAGGCGACAAAGGCTATGGTGCCCCTCTCCCCAGGGCACACCAGCAGTGTTGCTTTGCTCTTTTTTTTTTTTCCTTAATTTATGGGGAGCCCGGTTTGTTCTGCTCTGTATCCCTTCCCATCCACGGCGTGCAGCACCCTGCAGTCCCCCGGCTGCTTCAGTGCAGCCGCTCCAGTCCTCTGCCTGGCTCGGGCAGCCTATCCCGGCCCCAGCTGCCGGCTTGCTTCTCAGGCTGGGTGTTTGTGCCCGTTTAACTTAGTTCTGTCGGTCAAGGGGTGCTCTGGGCAGATCTGAGCCTCGGAGGCTCCCCCTCCATCCTGCTGGCCTCTCCATTGGAGAGGGGGAGACCCAGGGAGCGAGTGCTAGTCCTCCTTTCCCGTTCCCTCCCAACGGGACCTGTCCCCCAGTGTTTTGCTTTTTCTTCTTTTTTTCCTTTTCTCCTACCAGATTTTTGATGTCTTTGTTTTTTGAAGAGGGCAATGTTCTGTCAGAGTTCCGCAGGTTCTCTGGTTGGCTGAGTGGGTCCATAGACGTGAGTTTTGGTATATTTGTGGGAGAGGGTGAGCTACGAGCATCCTTCTACTCCGTCATCTTGCCGGTTCCCCCTATCTTTCTTTTTTTTAATTGAAGTATAGTTTGTTAACAGTGTGTTAATTTCTGGTGAACAGCATAGTGATTTAGTTACATATATATTCCTTTTCATAATTCTTTTTCACTATAGGCTATTACAAGGTATTGAATATGGTTCCCTGTGCTATACAGTAGGTCTTTGCTGTTAATCTGTTTTATATATTGTTGTTAGCATCTGCAAATACCAAACTCCCAATTTATCCCTTCACCCACTCTTCCTTTCCCCCCTGGTAAACACAAGTTTGTTTTCTATGTCTGTGAGTCTGTTTCAATATGAAGCATCTTTAAAGTGGTCTTGTAATTCTACTTTTCAGTTAATTGGCCAAATCATAAAAACTCCAAAACGTAGAAGGAAAGGTAGGAGACTTTAAATCACAGTGGTATACAAGTTATGGAGTTTCTGAGGTGGTGCACAGATACTCATAAACTAGGAAAAAACGTTTTATTGCTGCCATGTGATGGTAAGGAGGTAGTGGTCCTTGTTTGGTAGGTTCTGTGTACTTCCTCTTGCTTTCACAGTTCTGTTTTTTCATCTTAGTTTGACAGTAATCATGCCACTGGACACATCTCTGGAAAGTATTTCGGTAGCCTAGAGGATTAGAGAAATCTCATCTTAGCTGTGAACCTCTCAATGTAAATTCCGTAATATTCCTGGGCAATTGTTGATTGAGAATTGACTTTACAACTGATGCTTTACACATGTTATTTCTAAATTTCATAACATTGAAGGAGCCCTAATTTTCAGGTTAGGAAATCATGGCCAATGGAAGCTAAATAATGGTCCTTCTTTTCTTGAAGCTAATGCTCTTGTTCCTACATCACACACACCCTCTCAAGGAACATGGATTCTGTGTAGAAGGCTGGGCTTTCTTCACAAAAGGCAATAGGCTTTGTAGATTTTTCTCCTTTTAACTATTTTTAAATGTTGATAAAATTTACATACCGTAAAATTCTCCCTTTTAAATTGTACAGTTGAGTGGTTTTTTGTATATTTGCAAGGTTGCGCAACCCATACATTAGATAATTTGACAACATTTTTGTCATCCCCCAAAGAAACCTTGTACTCATTAGCAGTAATTCTTCAGTTCCTCCCATCCTCCAACTCCTGGCAGCCACTCATTTGCTTTCAGTCTCCCTGAATTTGCCTATTGTGGGCATTTTATATAAATTGAATAGTGCAATATGTGAGCTTTTGTGTCTGGCTTCTTTAGCGTAATGTTTTTAACATTCATCCATGTTGTAGTAAAGTATCAGTGCTTCTTTTTATGGGTGGATAATACTCCTTTGTGTGGACATACCACATTTTTTGTTTATTGACTCATCAGTTCACTTTGTGTTGTTTCTACTTGTTGTCTATATTGAATAATACTGCCCTGACTTTATGGTTGTAGATTGCACTAGGAACCTGTTATCAGAGAACATAGCACCTTGCAGTATAATTCTCTTCTGCCATTTTGTAAACTCTGTAAGTGTATAAAGCATATATGTCTTGTTAGCTGTTATATCAAGCATAGTACACTCATGTGAGAACCTTGTGAATGAATAAATTAAAGAAGGCAGCTCTGTAGCTCTAGGTGAGAACTTTGAACTGCTCATCTCGCCTGCCTTGTGTCGCTTGACTGAGGGGCTGTCTTCCTCACTCTGTGTAGTGTATGTGTTCAAGGTTGAGGATTTGGCTCTAGATCTTTCCTGACACTTTTGATTATTGGGAGAATGGAGGTTACGTTGATATAGCAGCCTCATAATTTGTTTGGTTGAGTTGAGTGTTACCACCTATCAGTGAAAGTCAGAGTGAAGCTAGATTTGTTTTGACAGTCTGTGCTGGGAGCATTTGGGACGTTTATTAGTAAGGGAAGTAGACCATGATCCCAAGTTTGTCTGTTGTCTTGCCAATTAAAACTGCCTGCCTGGGCATGTGTCACTTTCCCCTAGTGGGATTCTTCCCGTTAGGGACACTGGAAAAGTCCATTGGTGTTTAAGTTTATTTTCTCCATTGGCTTCTCTCATACTCTCTTTGCCTATCTCTTCATTGATTATCTCTGAATTAGTTCAGGCAGATTTTCTGTGTTTAGTGCAAAATGTTGCCTGACTCCCAATTCTCTATTTCAAAGATAAGAGGATTTAATCAAGGTGAAATCATCTCATTTATTTGTTGCTTCAAACAAAGCCCCGGTTGTGGAGGCCAGCCTGTCCTTCAGGACACCTTGCTCAGGCGCACAGACTGATTTCTCAGCCTTGACCCCGCCAAGAACCCCAGAGGAACGCTGGGCACTGGGCAGGGGGAGGTAGGGAGGTGGGCTTGTATTGGCAAGTCTGAAGGTGACAAGTGCTCTGGCAGCCTTTGCTTCCCCCTCCCTCCTGCATCTGCCTCCTCCTTAGCCGAATGAGGATGACAGGAAGGGAGAAGGGAGCTGCCAGGTTTCCTGTGTGCATGTCTGTGGGAGGGAGACGCAGAGGGCTGGCAGCCGTGAACTAAGTGGGCTCCATTCCATCTATCTTTTCTGATTAAAGTGAAGCAGATTCAGGCTGCTGCCTGTGAGCTGTGATGGGAGCCATAGTTCAGACATTTCCTGGAATGACTGTTCTAGACATTGCACCCATTTCTACCCTGAAGCAACTTACAGGCTGAGGGGGTTGAGACGTCTAGAGCTGTCTGCAGTGTATGCATGGTCTTTGGATGATCTCTTCCATGTGCTATAATATAAACTTCGTAGAATATACTGTGAAAATAAAAAATACCGTGTCCTTAAAAATGTGTTTTTGGTGTGGCATCCCATGGCTTCAGTTTTTAAGTTATTTTGCTGCTGATACCTCCTATTTGGGGGAGGATGGGTTTGTTTCCAAGCAGTTGTCATTAAAGGCTGTGATTTAAAGACCCAGTGTATTCCTAGTCTCATTAAGGTCTAATGGAAGCTTTTGTGGCCAGTTACTACAACAGATTCCAGATCCTTCTGGATGGTTCTATAAACATTTATCCGTTTTTTACAGGAATTCTTAATCTCCCAGTCCAGTCTAAGTGAAGATGGTCAAGAATCTGGGTAGCAATCACTGTGAAAATAAAATTCTATTTGGGGTCTAAACCTCCATGGTGGAATTTCTGGCAGGACCCCACTCCTTCCCCTTGGATTATCAGCTCTTGTTGGAGAAGATACAATTCTACTGTAGGCTCTGGGGTTATAATCTTCTGCTCAGCCATCGAAGGCATTCACAGCTGCCATCCTTGCTGCAGCTCGCTGCTTGAGCACCGTTACTCTTGCTGTTGTGGTGGGAACTCCTCGTCTCCTAGTCTTTGCCCTTACTTCCCTGGTCACTTTAAGAACTGCTGAAGCAGCAGAGGTGCACCAGTAAATTTTTCTGTTTTCATTTTCTGCTCCATTACTCAGAAGGTTTCTGTTGTTACACCTATTTTTGAAAAATTAAACTTTTGGGTTAGCCTTTCTTAAATTCTTTCTTAAATTCTCTTGGGATGTATCAGAAGAGATTTCAAAGGCATATTTCTACATTGCCCCTCAAGTAACCTGTAATAATCAAGGTCCCAGGATAGATACTGGGCGCTTCAGCTCTTTGATAAACCAATATAAATTCCTTCATCTTTTATAAATGTCTGAACCTCTCATTAGACACACAAAATTTCTTAATGCTGTTCTTCCTAAGGAGGGAAGGAAGACTACCAGGTGCACACAAAAGGATTTGTTGTGGCTTTATTCAGGCTGAACCTATGTCACGCCCTCGTAACACAAAACCCTAAAATCTCAATGGCTTAAAACCAAAGGTCATTTTTTTGCCCATAATACATGTCCAGAGATAATTGTATTGTAGTTACTTAGAGGCTCAAACTGATGAGACTGTTACCTTATGAGGCCTCCATTTCACTGTGATGTTCAGGGTTTACCGCAGTAGGGTAAGAGAAAAGTGAATGCAGCTTTCAGATGCTTCCCCCGGAAGTGAAACATGTGACTTCTGTTCACTTTCATTGGCCCAAGAAATCTTGGTGAGTTCTGGAAGCGAGGGGCTGGGGGCTTAGCCAGCAAGTAGCTTGGGAAGAGGTTTGAGTGATTTGGAAGGTATACATGATAAACCCAGCGTTCCCACAACTGATTTTCTGCTTATGGCATTTATCACTTCTTTCAAGGGAGCCTAAGGAAACTGAAATCAATAAGCACAAGTTCTGGAACTAAAGGATGCTCTTGCGGAGGTAAAGCTATTTGGAACTTTACTGTAAGAGCGTGCAAGGTCACAGGAGGGGCTGGAGTGGGGCCACTCTGCTGGGCCTCTGCCACCATCAAGGGATTACCCAAGACTGTGCATCATTGAATGCGTGCAAGGTCCTGCCTGGTTGAGCATGTGCTATCTGCCTGTAGGAAGGACAACACTCTCTCTTGGTTTGAGGCAAGAGTGCAGTGAGCATGAGGCAGTCCAACAGCCACTTAGACAGTGAATCGGTAAGAGGCATATGGCACATCTAAAACTTAAAACCAAAACGTAAGAAAGATGCAATTTTTAGACGGTATAGAGTTTTCAACGATTGCCTTATATTCCTCTAAGCACTTTTATTATTGTATACTGTCTCATTTGGTTCTTAGAAAGTCTATTCATCACTTTTAGCCTCCTTGCCTGCTTTAACTTCTTAGCACTTACCACCATCTAACATTCTAAGTATTTTGCCTGTTTATTTTAATTGTCTGTCTTACCACTAGAATTCAACCTCCTGGAGGCTATTTTTTGCCAACTGTTAAATTGTTAGAACTGAGAACAGGACCTGGCATAAAGTAGGCCCTCATCAAATATTTATTAAATACATGACTGAGCGGTAGTAATTCTTCTTAAAGCTGGTTTCATAGCACAAGGATGCACAGTGATGCCTTAGAACATCACCTTCTTCTGTGTTAAATCTGCTAATTATGGAAAACAGCTTCCTGGTGCATCTTCACTATTCATTATTTGGTACTTTTTGATCACCTGCCAAATGCCAGGCATTGTATACATAAGTGAATAAAATCAAGACCTCAGAGAGTTTCATATTCCCAGGGACTGAGGTGGAAGGAAATGGTCAACCAGGCAATAAATAAAGTGAAATGAATCAGAGGTGCCAGGGATGGGTAGGGGGAGGAAGGCGCAGAAGCACTGATTTGGGTGGTCAGGGAAGTCTCGCCCACTAGGTGAGATTTAGTCCTAGAGCTTGAAGGAGGTGAAAGAGCAAACATCTCCTGTGGACATGGTGGGATGGAAAGGGGTGGGGAGTGCTCCAGGGAGAGGAGATAGCTGGGCATTGGGCAAGGTAGAAGGTTTGAACAGTAGTAAAGAGGCCACTGTGGCTGATGGTGAGAAAATGGAGGGGGAAAGCAGTAGGAGATGGTGTCAGAGTAGGAGTCTGGTCTGGTAGAGTCTCATATGTCACTATAAGGACTTTAGCTTTTGCTAAGAGTGAAGTGGGATGCCTCTGCATGATTTGGAATAGAAGAAAAACATGATTTGACAGAGGTCACTCTCCCTCTGGTGGCAATGCTGAGCATGGATCCTAGTGCAGAAAATCTACAAGTCCTCAGGCCCAGGTGAGGCTACAACCGAGTCCAGGCTAGAGGAATGTGGCTTGCAGTGGGATAAGGGTAGTGGAGGTGGTAAGAACTGCTCAGTTATGCGAATATTTTCCGAATTCACGTCTGATGGCTGCTTTCTATCTTCTGATTATTGGTAGAGGCACATTTAGGCACATTGTGAAGTCACTGGACTCTTCTGCCTTTTGCACCCAGACTCCTCTCTTGACGTTCGGTACCTTCTTCTGCCAAGACCCTGCCTCTCTTCTGAGTGTGTTATGTCCCCTACACCTCCTTCCATATGGAACAACAGCACTTATCGAAGGATTATGGTTTGAAATTCATTTGCATTTCCAGCCTTTACAACTTAAATTGTTGAACATATAATGTGTGTTCTTCCTTTTCCTTCCTTCAGGCATCACTGGTGTGAAAGGAGAACTATAGTCTTGGAGCCCAGCTGCCCTAATTTTAACAACTAATGCTTCTTCTCTTTTAAGTTTGGTCGCTAAGTCACAATGGCCACTCCATAGGTGGACCTAGAAGCAATCCTAATTTCATGTTTTTAGTGTGATGGGACAAGGGTCAGAAGAATAAACCTGGGGTGCCTTGTTTCTGTGAGCAGATGACCTGGACTAGGGCAGCCGGAGGCTGAGTGTTGCTGCTCTCAGGGAAGAAGGGACTCACATCATTGGCCGGAAGATCCTTTCCCTTCAACCGTGCTCATCTCCACCCTCTGCTCCCCTTTCCATCTCTTCCTTCTTGTTTATTTTCCTTCCTTCTCACTCACTAGATCAAAAATGCAACCTAAATTTTTCTCTTTCTCCTAGGTCGAACAGGTTAACTGTCTCTGATAAATTTAGGGTCTCACTTTCTTTCACAGTGAGGTTTTTTTTTTCCCCTCAAGCGAAAGTAGTTTGCTCAAAGAAGGATTCTGATACCAGGCGTTAACATAGTAATTTTTTATAATCTCATTATGTGTGTCACCTAAATGAAATAATCTCCTTCCCTTCCTGACTCAGAAATCATGAATCTTAACTAAGTTCATAAAATTGTTCTGTGGCAAAGTTAACATAGAAATTCCTTTCTGCCTTCACGTGCCGTCTTCAGTTAGGAATAGATGCTCTGCAAAGCCAGAGATCCAGCAATCACGGAGTGGTGGGCACAGTCAGGTTAAGATCGAATTAAGACAGGAAAGTGACTTGAAGATGTAATTCTGAGATGTGAAGTCATGATGACTAAATATTGAAGCCTGCTCAACCAAAACTGGAAAACTGAACTCATTTCTAAGTGCTACTTTTTTTTTTAACTGCAACAGTTTCTTCTTTATTTGAAAAACCTGAATGGGACCAAATACAAACTTCCAGGGACTTTTTTATTTTGGGTTGAAATGACATCTCACCCCAATTTCTTTAACTGTGCATAGATGGCCCCAGTTTTACTTCTCCAGGTTTCTACAGGCAAACCTCAGACACACTGTGGGTTCAGTTCCAGACCACTGCAAGAAAGCAAGTAACACAGATTTTTTGGTTTCCTAGTGTACTTAAAAGTTATGTTTATTCTGTATTATGGTCTATTACACATGCAAAATCATTATGTCTTGAAAAGCAATGCACATACCTTAATTTAAAATACTTTATTGCTAAATAATGCTAAACATAAGCTAAGCCTTCAGTGAGTTATAAACTTCTTGCTGGTGAAGGGTCTTGCCTTGGTGTTGATGGCTGCTGACTGGTCAAGGTAGTGGTTTCTGAAGGTTTGAGGTAGATATGGCAACTTATTAAAATAAGACAACAATGAATTTAGGTGCATTGATTGACTCTTCCTATCGTGGAAGATTTATCTGTAGATTGCAATGCAGTTTGACAGCACTTTACCCACGGTAGAACTTACCAAAACTGGAGTCAGTCCTCTCAAACCCTGCCTCTGCTTTATCAACTGAGTTTATGTAATATTCTAAATCCTTTGTTGTCATTTCAGCAGTCTTCACAGCATCCTCACCAGGAGTAGATTACATCTCAAGAAATCACTTCCTTTGCTCATCCATAAAAAGCAACTGATGCATTAAAATTTTATCATCAGATTGCATCAATTCAGTCAAATCTTCAGACTCTACTTCTAATTCTCTTGTGATTTCTACCACGTCTGCAGTAACTTCCTCCAATGAAGTCTTGAATTCCTCAAAATCTTCCTTAAGGGTTGGAATCAACTTCTTCCATACTCCTTTTAATGTTGATGGTTTGACCTCTTCCTGTGAATTGCAGATGTTCTTAATGGTGTCTAAAATGGTGAATCCTTAGCAGAAGTTTTTCAGTTGACTTTGCCCGGATCCATCAGAGGTATCACTATCTATGGTAACCGTAGCCTTAAGAAATGTCAGAACTAACACTTAAAGTTGAAATTACTCTTTGATCCATGGGCTGAAGAATGGATGTTGTGTTGGCAGGCGCGAAAACATTAATCTTGATGTACATATCCTTTAGACTTCTTGGGTGTTCAGGTGCACTGTCAGTGAGCAGTAATATTTTGAATGGAATCTTTTTTTCTCATGAGCAGTCAGCAGTGGGCTTAAGATATTCAGCAAATCATGTTGTAAACTGACTGGTATCATTCAGGTTTTGTTCCATTTGTAGAGTGCAGGCAGAGTAGATTCAGCATAATTTTTAAGGGCCATAGGATTTTCAGAATGGTAAATGAGCATTGGGTTCAACTTAGTCACCAGCTGCGTTAGACCCTAACAAGAGAGCTAGCTAATTTTTTTTAAGCTAGACATTAATTTCTTCTCTGTAGCTATGAAAGTCCTAGATGGCATCCTCTTCCAGTAGAAGACTGTGTGTCTACTCTGAAGACCCGTTGTTAAGTGCAGCGTCCTTCATTAACGATCTGAGCTAGATCTTTTGGGTAACTGTCTGCAGCTTCTGCATCAGCACTTGCTGCTTCACCTGGTACTTTGATGTTCTGGAGACAGTTTCTTTCCTTAAACCTCATGACCCAATCTCTGCTTACTTCAAACTTCTGCACTTCCTCACCTCTCTCAATCTTCAGAGAATTAATGAGAGTTACAGCCTTGCTATGGATTAGGCAGTGGCTTAAGGGAATGTTGTGGCTGGTTTGACCTTAGATCCAGACAAGGAACCCTGTCTCCCTATCAGCAATAAGACTGTTTTGCTTTCTTACCATTCATGTGTTTATTGGAATAGTTCTTAATTACTTCAAGAATTTTTCCTCTGCATTCACAACTTGGCTGTTTGGGGCAAGAGTCCTACCTTAAGGCCTATTTCAGCTTTCAACATGCTTCTTCCCTAAGCTTAATCATCTTAACTTTTGATTTATTATGAGAGACATTTGACTCTTCCTTTGAACTCTTAGAGGCCATATAGGATTATTAATTGGCCTAATTTCAGTATTGCTGTCTCTCAGGGAAAAGGGAGGCCAAAGGAGAGGGAGAGAGACAGGGAATGGCAGGTCAGAGGAGCAGTCAGAACACATAGTGTTTATCAGTGAAGTTCATTGTCTGATATGGGTGTGGATTGTGGCACCCCAAAGCAGTTATAATAGTAACATCACTTCTCACCATAAAAAATCCTGAAAAGTTTGAATATTGTGAGATTAACAATGTGACAGACACAAAGTGAGCAAACGCTGTTGGAAACGGTGCCGATAGACTTGCTCAATGCAGGGTACCAAAATCCTTCAATTTGTTTTAAAAAAAAAAATGCACAGTATCGGCCGAGCACAATAAAGTGAAAAGCACTAAAATGAGGTGTTGCCTGTATTAGTTTCCTGTGGCATCTATGAGAAATGACCACATAAATGGTAACATAAAACAATAAAAATGTATCCTCTTAAACTTCTGGAAGGCAGAATTTCAAAATCAAGGTGTCGTCAGGGCTGAGCTCACTCTGGAGGCTTTGATGGGAAGCATCTATAACTTGACTCCTCTGGTCCCTGGTGTCTGCTGGTAGTCCTCAGTGTTCCTTGGTTTCTGACTGCGTCACTCCAGTCTCTGCCCCTGTCTTCACATGACATTCCCCTCTGTGTGGGCATGGAATCTCCTCCTACTTGTCTTTCACAAAATACTTTTGGTAGCATTTAGGGCCCATCCAGATCTTCTAGGATAATCTTATCTTAAAACCCTGAATTAAATGACATCTTCAAAGCCTCTCTTTGCAAATAAGGTAAAATTTATAGGTTTAAGGGATTGGGACCTGATTATCTTTGGGGCCATCAATCAGCCCACTATGAGCCTCAATGTAAACACTGTCACTGTCTCTCTCCCCTTCTTATCTGTTTTTCACAAGTTTTTCAGATACGTTGTATGTTATTTTCTGTCACAATTCGTGTTATTTACATAAGTATATACCTTCTTTAAAAGTGACACAGGCCTTTTTCTGATTTTCTAAAGCAGGGGTTAGTAAGTTTACTAGATACCAATGCTGTGTCCAGTACTGAGATCTGCAGGACCTGAAGCACATTGTGATGGATAAGTTTAAGAGGGGATGCTTGTTTCTGAGGTCCTTAGGAGATCAAGGCATCGAGACTCGGTGGTGGGTGTGATAAGGGCCTGAAGGAGAAGGTGATATCAAGGATGACTCCTGTGTCTGACTTGACAGTGTCTGGGGAGTGCTGTCACTCACTGAGCTGAAAGATGCTGGAAGAGCATGTTTAGGGGGAGCTTATGATTTGGTGTTGGATGGACTGACTTTGAGGCATCTTTGAGGTTTGCTAGTCTCAGGCTTTTGCTCACTACCTTCCTCAGCATTTCTTCCTCTTCTTAATTTAAGTAATTTCCATATACATAATAAGTATATGTGTGCGTGTGTATGTATAAATGTTGATGTGTACAAATGTGTGTACACACATACACACACATGAGATATTATCCCTTTGGGGACTGTAAGTCATCTATCATAATCTGAACCCACTTGCTTCACATAGAAGTTCTGGTAAGAGATAGGATAATAGCTATTCTTACACCAATTTATGCAGAAAGAAAGAATGAAAACAGCAAGTATCTCTTGAGCACCAGCTATAGATATATTTTTTATTCCATTCTTAAAAGGTATCTATGATGTGTGCACTAATGTTTTTTTCTATTATGCTCATATATAAAGAGAAGCATAGAAAGCTTAATAATTTGTTCAAATTCCCGATTAGGGTTTAAACCCAGCCAGGTTTTCCATATTCCTGAGTGAGCTGATAGACTTGTAAATAATTTGCTTATAATTTTGCACTTCAAATGATGCTTCACCAAAACACTCCCTTCTCAACCCTAGAACTATAGCCTAGATGCCCCCTTCTTTAATCTCCCCAAATTCCATATGTTCCCTTTTTCCATAGCATTTTTTTGTGTTACCTTCTTAGCAGACTAAGTTTTTTGAGGGCAAAGACTGTTTTATCTCCATTTTTTATAATACTGACCACGAAATCAGTGCTTAGTCCATGTTCTCTGAATTAAGAATTAATCTCTTTTCTGCTTCAGGGCTATTGAACTAATATATTTTTATCTTTTATTGGGTCTTGAGTGCATATCACTACTGAATGGTTTATTTGGGACATCCCCATTCTAGTGCTGCAGTAATTTTGTTCTTGATAATTCTTTACTAAAAATAGAGCAAAGCAAGCAGAGCAAAACAACTCAAACAAAACACAGTAAGATAGCAAAATACTAGGAATGAATCTCAGGATCAGTGGAAATCTGATAGAAGAAATGTTTTTGGGTAGTGAATCATTTTATGCAGTGGAAAGTGAGCTCTTAAGTAAAGGAATGCACGTGAGACCATGTTCATCACCTTCAAATATTGGTTGAAGCTGAGCTGACTGAGGCAAAATGGGCATTTAACGAAAACCTCTTCTCATCCTTGGAGTGGACAATTTAAAATACCTATCTACTGTGGCCAGTCTTAAATTATGTATTTCTGATACATTGTTTCATTGAATCCTCACAGCTTTGTAGGATGTAGGATTTATTTATTATTTAACATATGAGAAAACTGAGAACCAGAGATGTTAGGTAATTTGCCCTATGGCACACAGCTGCTAAGTGGGGAGCACAGGTGTCAACCTTGGGGGCACCTACTTCAAAGCCTATTATGTCACTCAAAGTAGTGACATTTCACAGGTTATTTATGGATTGGTAAGAGGTGCGACCTTCCAATTTTCCCTAAAGCATATCTAAAACTTTAATGTGCATCAAAATCATTGGGGGCGCTTGTTGACAGGCAATTTGTGATTCAGTGTGAGACTCAAGTTTCCGCATTTCTAGCAAGGCCCTAGGTGATGGCCCTGCTGCTGCTTTGTGGACTACACTTGACTCAAAGGCATAAGAGACTGCTGAAGTTCATCTCCACTGTTATAGGTAAGATGAGGTACAAACTGTTCCCAAACAACAGCAGTGTCAGATCCTAGGGGGAGAAAAAGTAGCCGTTGTCATACTTGGTGCTGCTTTTTAAGATATGCTGGCTTACAGGGGCAGGAGAGATTGATGACACTGTGAGAAAAAAAAACAGGAAAGAAATAAAGTGAAGATTTGTCTGTCATATCCTCCATCAGCAGTAACTGCCTTTGGCGTGCTGTGTTATTTTTCATTTCTCAATACTGGTTCACTGATTTAGCTGGCTGTTAGGTCAGAAGGACCACATAGAAAAATCTCCGTTCATTTTGGTCATTCCTGGTGATCTAGACTTTTGTCAAAGCTTTCCCCCCCAACATAAAACTCTTGAGTTAGAGATAGATAATGATCTCCCTCCTTCCAAATGCTTCCTTCCCAGTCCAGATTACTGGGGAGCCCGGGGGATGGTAGAATCTCAGGGATGGAGTGAAACCCCAGTGAAAACATACACAAAGTGCTGCAATGGCTTCTCAGTCTCCCAGGTGCTCTCTGGTATGTCCTGGCTCTTTGCTTATGGTTCAGGAAGCAGTGAATTATCTAAGGTCCCCATCTTCTAATAATGGATTTGGGGTTTGGGAAACTCAGCACCTTACATAGCAGCAGTGAACAAATACTTAAAAGAGAGGCAGGAAGAAAGTGAGAAAGAGACAAAGGAAGGAAGGAAAAACAAAAGCGATGGAAAAGACTATTTGATCTTTTATCTTTGCCATTTCAATTTCTATTTAATATTTCATTCTATAGTAGGTGTTTGAAGGGATCTTTCAGTACCTAAAAAAGTGTAAAGACCATTTCTTTTTCTTCTCTCTGTACTCTCCATGTCTTTTGTTCTATGATAGTTAAGTTTTATGTTGCCTCTTGGAACAGATATTAATAGGAAACAGCATTTGGAGGGAGCTTGAAATTGGGGCACAGAAACTGACCTAGGGTCTAAAGTTTGAGTCTTTTCTCTGCCATTAACTCATCTACAGTGGAGGTCAGCTGGAGGTCTATGTAATTTTAAGATTAATTAATACCCTGTTTCAAAAATTGGGGCAGTCTGAAGCCTTTCCCAGGATTTCTTTAGGTTCCCTGGGATCTTCTGCTTTGATGGTCACCTTAGCCTCAATTTTCTGCTGCTGCTAAATCTCATGTCCAGCTAAAT